GGGGGGGGGGGGGGGGGGGGGGGGGGGGGGGGGGGGGGGGGGGCGCAACGCACATTTTGGACAAGCGCAACAAGCTGCCGCCAGCAGCTTCAACCTGGTCTGACTTCATGTTCAAGTGGTCGGAGCGGAATTTCGCAAGATATCCCTTCCATCCATGGTATTGTTCCTGTTCGTGCACGTTATCTGCGTAGTCTGAGATAACTGCACATCTCACCACAAAGCTCGACCGGCGTTCTAGCGGGAAGTCCTCCGGCGGAAGTTCGTCGTCATCGCTACTCCCCGATGTCGTCGCCGCAGCATCATCGTCGCAGGATCGCGGTTGTGTTGTTGGCGTCGGGCAAGTGTCCCCACCATTCTCGGCTGGTGCGTCACGCTCCGTAGTGCCCCCTAGTGTTGCTGCCGCCGCGGCCGCCGCCGCGGCCGCCTTGGCTTTCCGCGGCGACGACGCACAGGAAGGGCGCCAGCAAGCGTGCGTCCCCTTCACGCTCAGCAGGGCGAATGACGACAGCAGGCAGGTTATGAGCAAGCTCACCAGGAAGGCCACATTCGGGTTGTTCGGGTTCGTGGCTAGGGCCTGCTGCCTGGTGGGGGGCAGCAGCAGTACCGCGAGGCACGCTGCAGAGCCTGCGGCGAAAGCGGCCGCGCAGAAGGACTCCAGTAAAACCATCAGAACCAGAAAGGAGTCTTGGCAACGGAGGGGGGAGAGGCCGAACAAAGCAGCAGCAGGCGAGCGAGTGGTACATATCGAGCGCAGGCTGGTTGATCGGAAAGGCAAAGAGCCAGCTGTGCTACAAGCGTGGGGAACGCCTCTTTGCATTTGTATATTTTTGAAACCGCTGTGGACGCGCGGCAGCCCGAAGAAACGAGAGAGCAAGCACAGAGGAGCCGGAGTACCGGAACGGTGAAGAAACAACACATAAGCAGGGCGCGTAGTTTCCACTTGTTCGGTGAGATAGCACGCGAGACCGATGGATGTAAGGAAGAGTGGAGTTTCCTCCTCTTCCCGCCATCATCGAAACAACTATGATACTATACATATACGTACACATGCATGTGCTGACCGCTGACCTCTAAGACCCATCTTGTAACAACAACAACGCCCGAATGGTTGCCAGGAAAGGTTGGTACAGCTTGGCCTTTTAGGGGCTTTGGCTGGTGACGTGGAAGAGGGATTTTGGGTTTTGGAGCAACACATTGACACATATCTTCCGACGGGATATTTCTCGAGCGGTGACTCGTTCTTCGATGTTGTGTAGAGTAAACCAGGGTATTAACGAACGCCCCCCCTTTAACGAACACTTTTTTCAAATGCACGTCCCTCGGCGCACAATGCGCGGAGCCCCCCAATTTTTTTTTTGAAATCTTCAGCTTTCCGTTAGCTTTCGTTTGAGCACCTCCGCGTGTCGATCGGGTCAAGCACTCCCGAGATACAGCACAGCCCTCACCCACACCCCTTATGTGGGGCATCTTTGCCCTTTTCGGGGTCCTGCTGCTAAGCATGGGACGTAAGAGAGTAGACCCAGAGCAGGCCCAGAAGGCTGTAGATGCGGTACGCAGCGGTGAGATGTCGCTCCGCGTTGCTGCGAGGACCTACGGGTTACCGCTAGCCTCGCTGCACGACCGTGTGAAGAACAAGGTGGCCATAGATGCGAGGGTTGGTCCCGGGACTGTCCTGAGCAAGGAGGAGGAAGATTTCGTAGAAGACGTCTTGATCTACGCCTCCCGACACTTCTTGCTGTTGGGTCGGAGGGAGCTGAGAGACGCTGTGCGCAACATCTGCACCGACGGGCGCAAGGTGCCCTGGGACCCAGACAAGGGCCCTGGGGACAGCTGGCTTGAGGGGTTTATGGCGAGACACCCGGGTTTGTCGGAGCGAGCCACCCACATCTACGAAGCAAACCGGATTAA